CACAGGCTCCATAGGAAATGAATGGAGAGTGAGCGACGTCGCCTCCCGTGTGTCGAGCCCTTTAGGCTGCTTCTAGTTTGGTTAACTAATGTTAATAAAAAGCTGCTGGTTTCTTGTTGAACACATAGTTTTAGGAGGTGGCAGTTGTTGAACGGTGCTCTTCCTGCTCCTTTTCTTCAATAACTCTTTATCGTGCTGATGTGTGGATGTGGAACAAAATTTTGTAAGATTTCACTGCTCAGATTCTTGTGTGAATGTCCTGAGAACTGGTGGAATTTACACTGGTTATGATCTACTGCTCTAAAAATCAAGAAACACTTTTTATTCAAAGTACAGAGTCAAGTCTGCTCGACTGCTGGGATGTTGGTTGGGTCAGTTAAGTTGCAGAGGTGGGTTATTTATCAGTATGATTTGGTGTGATTGCTGTGACTGAAGCCAAAGGTTCTTGTACTAAATACGCACGTTAGAGGGTGAGTATTTATGCTGTCTCCTAGTTTACAGCACATATTTTATTTTCTTGGCATTACTTTACAGATATCAGTTTTAGGGTTTTTGGTCAAAGATGTCAGATTTCTCTCTTTTCCCCATGATTGGGTTTTAATAACACTAAAAGAATAAAACATCCAAGTGACTGAATACTTTTTGTAACTACTGTGGAAGCAGCAGATTTACACACTTGTACATTTTGTTGTTTAATATTTATAGATTATTTTTTCCACCTTGAGGTTAGGTTTGAATGATTTTAGAGTCTGATCACTTGTATTATGACCTGATTGCTAAAACAACAGAACAGAAGGAGGGGAGTTTTGTTTTAAGTCTCAAAACGTTATAATTTAATGTAACTGACAAACGTTTCTTTTGACAAAAAGCCATGTTTGGTGTTTTCTTCTGTCTTTTTATACTTGTGATGTTTTCAGTCTAATATAACAGGCTGGCTGAGGAAAGCTCTGGACACAGATAGGAAGGACTGGCAGAAGGAAACAGAACCTGAGGCGGATCAGGATGGATATTACCAGACTACACTGCCAGCCATCGTCTTCCAGGTGACACACGTTGCTCCCAATACTTCCTCGTGATGTCATAGTTGTGTCCATAATTTCTTAAATTAACAATAAGCATTGGTATAAGAAACTCATTTAAACGTGGTTACTTTTGATGCTCATCTAATCCTTTGCAGTAATGAATAAAGTAAGGTCATGGTTTTTTTAAATGACTGAACTTTTTTCCATCAACTCTTCACCAGATGTTTGAGCAGAACCTGCAGGTTGCTGCACAGATCGATGGAGACTTCAAAGAACAAGTTCTAAAGCTTTGTCTGAAACAAATGAACTCTTTCCTTATCAGGTACTTGTTTTTATAAAACCTTTTTGTATTCTTTTTGTGACTGCGGAACCCGTTGACGGTACTGGTAAAGTAAAAAGTTTACAACATATACAGTAATAGTATTTGTATAGTAATAATAAAGAAGTGTTGACATTCTTCGTTGAGGGGTATGATTGTAAGTAATGAGCAGTGGAGTGTATGACTGCATCAGGCCTGGAGCAGGTGAAGGTATAAATATGATGCTTCTGTTCAGATCACATACAGCGGGTAAAATAAGTATTGAACATGTCACCATTTTTCTCAGTAAATATATTACTAGAGGTGCTAATGACATGAAATTTTCACCAGTTGTCGGTAACAACCCAAGTGATCCATACATACAAAGAAATCAAATATAAATGTCCAGAAATGAAGTTATTTGTAATAATGTGGAATGGCTGTTACGGTCCCGGGGTCTAGGATACCCAGGACACACAACATATAATGTCCAGACAAAAGGTGTTTGTAAAAAAGAACTCAGATTTATTGTACGGACAAAACAAAGGAAGCCCCACTTCAAAACAAAACAAAAGGGAGGAAAACCCGAACCAGCCAGCAGTTGACCGTCGGATCCGGGCAACCCCCCCTTGCCCTCCGGTCC